TCCCGCGTCGCCCCGGGGGATGGAAAACCCCTGCCGTGAGGTGGCTGCGCAGAGGGGATGGGCGGCCTGGGCTGCCGGCCGCGTGGGTCGCCGTGTGGGGCTGCCCTGCCTGCTTGGCGCGGCCCTGCCAGGGGCTGAGATGGCAGGCTCGGTTCTTCCCATCAGCGCCGCCCGGGGATGGGGCAGCTGGTTTTGCATGGTGACCTCCCATCAAGCAACACAAGCAGCTGCTTTTCCCTACTGGTAATTGTCTGACAGTGTGATTTGTATGGCGCAATTAAAAAGGAAATTTTTGTGGCATCCTCTCAAATCTGTCTTGGGTCACCCGTGGTCAGAAATGCAGAGGGTTGGTGGCCTGCAGGCAAAATCTGCTGGAAGCAACAGCTCTGCCACGCTTTTGGCTACAGGTTTGCAGCTTGAGGGTTGGTGCTGTTGGCCTTGCGAAGTTGCAGTGGTCGGAGTGGGAGCTTCCAAGCCAAGGTCCCCAGTCCAGGGACCTTGAACAGCAGCACTGTAGAAAATAAGAAATGTGGTCAGTGGAGCACAGGAGACAGGTTTATGGACTCTGCAGTATGAAATATGGAGCTCCATCACTGTATCTCCGCCCTTTGAAAACAATGCAACACCAGAACAAAAAACTTGGTTGGCTGTGATAGCAAAGGACTGATCCAGTGAGAAATAGATGAGTCTGCAGAAACCCAAGGAGAAGTTTCTCAAGATAATAAAACTTTTTCAAGTGAACCATGCCACAGGCCGGGTACTTCCCTCGTGGTTTGAAGAGAAAGCATCTGAGGCTGTGGGGTATAGTCCCAAGTGTCACATCACCAGATCTTAGTGGAGTAATACCTAGGCTTTGGAACAAAGGGAAGTTGAAAGTTGCATGTCCTTAACAGTCCCAGGTGACAGGTAACAGTTAATGCATATAGCTAAATTATCATCCATTTCTTCCATTCTATCTAACTACGTACATTATCCAAAACTTCCAATTAATTTCAGCAGGTTTTAATCCATCACTCCTTTCTGATTCCCCCAGGTGACATCCTTAGTGAATCAGTGATAAATAGATTTCCCTTCTGGGGTTGCACCTGCTTGGAGAAATTTGAGCAAATAGCCTGAATGGAGCTAAGTAAGTATCTGCATTTGTGCTAATTTACTTTTTATGGACTAATAAAAAAAAAAAATATAAAACTCTGTTCTTAGAGCTTCATCCTGAGAAAAAGCACCCACACATCCTCAGGAGTTCTCTATTTAGGATCAGCACTGAGCTGCAGAATCGCTAGCTCCAGTAATAATCTCCCACAGTGGCTAGTAATAGCACACATTTCATCAGCTATCATGTGTTTTTCCAGGGAGTGGCAATGTGTGATTCACTTCAAATGCAAGTGTCTGCTAAAGCATATTTTGAGAAATTAACCCAGGAAGTTGCACTGAACCACATTACCATGGAAATATTCACTGGGGAGTGAGGGCACAAATAAAACCAGCAAAACTTGCTAGTCATTTTAAGGACGTTACCAGCGATTGCGTGCACACCAAATAAAGGGTGCCCACATCAGGAATATTTCCATCTTTCCAAGAAAAAACTGAGCAGAAATCTGTGCACTTGAAAGACCCAAGCCAACACAGGATAGTTTTTAGATGCTTCTCATTAATTAGAAAAGACAGAAACATAGTTCGGGGTGTTAGCAATCAGTTTTGGGGCTACACAGCAATTAACTTAGAGACTTCAAAGACCGTTATCAAAACTGGATGCAAACAGGAGACATTTAGGATTAAACACCCGCCTTGAGCCTTCAGTCTTCATGGAAATGTTCTTCAGGTGTACTGCACAGTCAAAACTCGCAGCACGTGTTTATTTCATGAGTGACCGGGTTGCCAGCAGGGCATCGTGTCAGAGAAATACACATTGCGAGCGTGGTCTGCGTTGGGATCTGTCTGCTACGCAATCCATCTCCTGAGCTGAAGCATGAAGTGCATCACCTCTGCATTCGAAGATCTTTCTGCATTACTCCTGCAAGAGAAGATTGCCTTGCAGAATGAGCAGAAGGAGATAAACCAGAAACTTTTGCCTCTGGGACAAACTGCTTTGGGTACCGGGCAAGATTTGGCTGCCTCATTTAAATAAATGAGACAATCAACACGAGAACTTCAGAGCCACAACTTAAAAAATGAGTAATGCACATAGTATGTGAGCAATAACATGAAAGATAGACTGGAAGAAAGAAAAAGCCCAGCACAAGTCTTAATGCTCTTCGAACACCTCTGTGTGAAATTCCTCAGGCGTGATACTAAGATAAGAAACCATTGAGTGGGCCACCACAAGATGTCAGCATTGCAGAATGGTTATTCCTACCAGGTACAGAAAAGGTCTTTGCATCCTATAAAGCATTTGGCATTAGACTTCTTTTTTTGTATGATGGCCTGATATGGCCTTATTTTTTTCAACCATCAAAATGAGGATATAAGTCCAAAATTGGCTGCAAAGGGGAATTTCTTAAATGGCTGTTTTTGCGGTCTTCTTCTTTATCTTAAAAACTTTTCTAAATGCTTTCACGGGGTCAGTATTAACAGCAGTACTAATGGTATATAGTGCCTTGTAGCCATCAGTGAGTCGTTTCAGGCTGCATCCAGCCTGGCTGGAAACTGCTCACTGAAATTCAGCCTGTGTATTGACCTGTCAGGGGGTTGTCCAAACCTCTCTGTTGCCACATGCTAGGCTTTTTTTAAACGCTCACAATTGGCTGGAGAAGGGTCTGCTGGCTTCAGTTCTGTGGAGGAAATGGGAAGAAAGTGTGAAAATATTTTGGGCTTCTATTTGGAAAAGAAGGATAGCAAATCTTTTCAAAGGTGTCCAGCAGCATAAGCCAAGTCACCAGCAAAAGAATGAAC